AACTGGTTTTAGAATAAATGTGTTTATTTCCAATGCAAAGACCCTATGAGTGAATCAATATTAATACCAAAATATGCAATCCTTAATGACCTGACAACAGTATCGTAACTATATCCCTTCCGAATAAGTCTGTTTAAAGGTTTGGCTAGCTTTTGAGGTGAATGCCGACATTTTTGTGCTTTGTAAAGAATATTACCATAAAATATTGGATGTGAAATACTTGAACGTATAAGATGTCTGCATGTTGATTTATATTTACGAATGATGTCCTTGTACCGATGATAAAATTTAGTAAATGTTTTGACTAGTTTGTGATATCGAAAACCCTGGTGTAATAATTTTTCAGTAATACAGAGATTTCTTTCGTTGAAATCAAATACGTTGTTACATACACGAGCGAATCGAACAAGCTGAGATATATAAACACCATAAGATGGTGACAAGGGAACGTCACCATCTAAAAATGGATAATTAACAATAGGAAAGGAAAAATCATCTCTTTTATCATTAACTTTGGTATTAAGCTTCCCATTAAAGATATAGATATCAAGATCCAGGAAAGGGCAGTGTTCATTGTTAGTATTAGCTTTATTTAAAGTCAGTTTGGCAGGATAAAAACTTGTTTATCAAATTTTAATAGACCCCGGAGAGCTTGACATAATTATATTGTTTATTGAACCTGTCCATTGTGGAAGACTATGTTGGCTTCTGGATATCTTGTGATTATGTTTTTCGTTGGGTTGCTGTTGTATTGACGTACAACTGACACTGTCTATTTTTCAAATTGATAATATTCTAACAATTACAATACTGCTAAATTATGCCATGACTGAGCAATATGAGGTGTCCTGTGTAGGAGATAAATTTAAAGTGTGTCCATAATACATTCAAATATAAATATAAGAAGATGCGGTATTGTTGCCAATGAGACACCTATCCTCCCAAGTTCAAATGAAGTGGATGTTAGCAATTATAAGCAACCGCACGGCCTTCAGCAATGAGAAAAACCCATACCGTATAGTCGCGGCTACAAAAGACCCCGACATGAAAAATATGAAACAATTCAATTGAAAAAACTAACGGCCTAATTTATAACAAAACAATTTCCGAAAAACAAATATGACAGACACGAACCAACGACAACAACTGAACCACAGGCTCCTGACTTGGGACAGGCACACAAAGAACGTGTCGGGGTTAAACATGTTTGTGAGCGCTCAACCCTCCCCTAACCCGAGACAGTGGTGTTACAGCTCAACATAAGAACAAACTATAAAAATTAGTTGAAAATGGCTTAACTCATCAGATCTATACAAAGCAGAAAAACATCTAACAAAAACACAGACCGGAAGTGGCAGGGTATTTATACATCCCTAACAACAAAAGACACAACGTACAGATCTGGGAGTACTCGCAGTTACTGACAGCTATTTCAAAGCCTATAACAACTAATAAAAGAAATCATGTATCTAAGGCTAGTATATCAATCAGTACACATCCAATAGCCAATGGATTTAGTCAATTCAACATTGATAACTCATGTCTGGTTCCCTTTCTCATTGTACTAAATGTTGAGTATGGGTTAAATTCTAAAAGAAATTTGTAAGGTTTTGTTTTTCACTGACTTCGCTGATCATGACTTCTTCGAGAAACCACGTTATTGTGAGACAGATTAGTTCTACTTTCTTTAGAGCAAAACATAATAATATTTTCTATCTAACTATATCCCTGGAAATGATATAATGTTTTTTAAGTGATCTCTACAAATCTTTGATTGTCTGATTGCAACATGGATGTCTCCCACGCAGGCAATAGTGACAGCGCAACGTTTAGCTATTCAAAGCATTTTTGTATAAATAAATGCTACACCTAAATCCTATTCCAGAAAAATATATGGTGTTTATATAATGCTGTGAAACACATTATGCTAAATTCAGACCATTTCCAAATTCCTATACGAGATTCTTAAAATTTTTAGGCCATTTTCCATTTTCTCTATCCATATTCCACCCCTCCCCTTATTATCTTTTCTTTATATTTTAGCACCCGGCCTTTATTCTCTATTCCCTAAGTACACTTTTATTCTCTATTCTTTACTATTTTGTCATTTTTTTCTTTGAATAGTGCTTAAAATGAGGCATAATTATTATTCAGTAAAATTTTAGTAACAATCAAGGTCAATAAAAAAGAATAGTATTCGAATATCACCAAAGGTCTTACACAAATGATTTAATTTTTGTTATAAATTTTGACACTGAAGTCCCATACTAGTAATATAAGCATGTTTACCGGCTTTTTCTTCCATCCGAACGTTATTTGTATACATACATAATATCAGATGAAAATTGAAAAATAAAATTGTAATCGAAAAGTTAATAAGATATGTAGTAGGATGTGACGGAGCGAAAAAGGGAGAACTGATACCAAGGGTGTAATAACAGATCACAAGTCTAATAAAAACAGACAAAACCATTGCCAAAAATAAAAAAATAACTACTAAACACTACACAGAAAATAAACAATTGAGCAACAGGAACCCCACATAAAACCGGAGGTGATCTCTGGTGCTTCGGATTGGTAACTTCAGTTCATGCTCCACTAGTGGCACACAATTAAGAAATAAAAAATAAAGACAGAAAGAAAATAATTTAAATGAATTGATTAAATGAATAACTGATAAAGCTGTCCAAAATGTTCTAGAGATAGAACTGTGAGGACCTCTGCTATGGTAGAACTGTCAGAATCCGTTCTTGGGTAGAAATTTCAAAATCAGTTCTAAGGTTCCCCATTTCCATTCTCAATTTTAAGGTTGAACAGTCCAAAACTGTTCTATGGTTAACTGTCAAAATCAGTTCTACGGTAGAACTGTCAGAACCGGTTCTCGGGTAGAACTGTCAGAATCAGTTGTAGGGTAGAACTGTTTAAAACTGTTCTAGGGTAGAGGTGTCCAAAAGTTAGAACTTCCAAATCTGTTATAGATTAGAAATTCCAAAACTGCTAAAGGTTATAACTTCCAAATCTGTTATAAGTTAAAACTTCCAAATATGTATCAGGTTAGAACCGCTCCTGTTAGAGACTGTTCTAGGGGTGCCAATTTGTCCTGACAGTTCCTGACACATTTTTAAGACAGGTTAGAACTGATCCAAACTGAAGATGCAGTCAACATAGTCACCAAACTTTGAATTATTTAATTAAAGGACATTATCTCAATAACGGAAAGTGAAGTACTTTTAATGCCAACTTCTTTTTATATTTCTTGAGAAGACTCTGTACGAAGTCTGCCTCATAAAAATGAAGGAACCAGTCGGCAAACAGATGGGCACAGTTTTTTGTCACATGAATGCCGATTGTCTTTTGTAACAAAAACGTTCTCGAATCGTAACAAATATGTTGACAATAAACAAATCAAGCATCTTGGTGATTTCAGTTTTAGTGACCTTTTTGTTTGAAGAATCAGAGTGGTTTTTTAACGGTATAATAGTTGTGAATAAGCTAAACGGAAACTATCAAAGAGCTACAATCAACACAAAATTCTAGCGGAAAAAACACATAGAAATGTGACATAAAACAATCACTGCCGCAGCTCCAGACTTGGTACATGCACATGATATCGAGCACATTTTGACCCTACTTTCCAAATCATGTGCAAAATCTACATCCTTGTTCATGTTAGGACAATTTTTTATTTCTTTTGACAAAAAACAAGTCACGGGATCATGATTAAGTTTATCATTGCTTAAACATAAATCCGGATCGTGCCCGAAACAAAAATATTCAGGTCTTTATCTCATTAAATTTTGTTTTTTATTTTGTTTTTATGCATGTGTACTTTCACTTTTATGAATTAAATATAATTCTTTCAATAAGGCTTTCAATTGGAATGAGGAATAGATATACAAAGTATAAGCACACGAAATGTTTTGTTATACTATTAGAAAAGGAGATGAACTTAGATTTGATATACTCTACCAGTTCGAATCTTAGGAATTTGTTTATACCAAAATCTGAATCACATCCTTCCTAGTGTCGGTAGTTTCAAAGTTACTCTTTTCCCGGTTTCAATTGTTGATAAAATCGAAGTTAATTAATTGGGAGTAATTTGGAGCATCAGCAGTTATACGTTGTTTGTAAGGAATCTTATGTAATTTGGTTATCCAGAATGGTGAGGGAAGACGGAGGTCTACTATTATATAACATTCCAAAGGAAAATAAAAAGACATTAAAAAATATGATTGTTCAAGATTTCTTCTTTCGTAAGTGTCGTTGTAGTGTATGTTATGTTTCCAAGTAAATTGTCAATACATATCATTCCCATACCAAGCTTAAGTTTACGATTAGTATTATAATAAATAAGTTATATACGTTAGTGTTGTTAAAATCAACAATGAACATAGTATTGTGTGGAGATGATACAAGGAAATGCTGCTAAATATAGAATAATGGCGTCTTTGTTTTTGATACCGACTTTTTATTAGCAAGAATATCAAGCGAGCCCGCGAGGACGAGCTGATATTCGAGATGATAAAGTCGGTATCAAAAAATAAAATGTCATTATTCTCTTTATCAGCAATTTGTCTTTACTGTATGTTTTTTTTATTAAGAATAGGAAACAAAATGAAACAGTTAGTAAAACTATTTTTACGCGTACAAAACGTTGTGATAGTTGGTCGGTTGTATGAAAGAAGTCGCTTGCTTTTCATTGATAAATTGACGCTGATGGACATGAGCACGCGACGTTGCTGCACTGATTCATATTGCCTAATATTTTCGAGTATCAAGTCCTGTCCATGATCTAAAAAAAATTAGGCAGTAAGTCTTTTGATGGTTCCCGAATACCACCATTTTAGAAAATTTTTGGGCAAGAACATAAATTTCTCCTCTGTTTATTTGTTATAGGTAATTCACATTAAGGATTCATAATTTGAATACGGTGTATCGGAAGTAAAGGTTGCAGTCTTGTAATTGATTGCTCCATAGGCTTACATGCAAAACAGCTGATCTTCAAAAAAATTTTATTCAAAAATGCTACATAGAAAATTTTTTTTGTGTACAGATCATGCATTTAGTAATGTTAAACTATGATTTCATGCAAAAAAAAGGGCACCTTGCCACGAAGAATAAAAAGTTAATCAACCTCGAAGTCAAAACTTCCTTTTTCTACTTTCTGTTTGCTGTTTTCATCCGACCGCACCACTTCTAGTAAACATTAGATCCTTCCACCTTCCTAATTTAATTTCTGAAAAAAGATGCAATATTTTTGTTACATTTAAATAGTACTTTCAATTCATCACAAAGTTTTAATCAAACAGTTTATAGGCAGTGCAGAAAAAAATTCAGAAAAATTGGGACTATTTTATTTAACTCCATGTTTTGACATGCACCGGAAACTGAAATTGTAATACAAGACTGGTACCTACAACCAATTCAACATTGCTCGGAAAATTACGAAAAAATTATTTAAGAAAGAAGAACCATATTCTGACTTGTATGCCAAATTATTTTTGTTTTACCATTAAATTGCAGCTTAAATTACATTTTTTAGAGTTGTACCCTTTTTTGGGATATTTAAGATTTTTTTTTTTTTTTGTATATAGGGTCAACTCTAATTTTTGCTTGTAAATTTTTTCTATTGGAGATTTTTGGCCTAATGTGTGATATATTTGTACATAATACATTGAACTTTGCAATTATTAAAGAAAAAACTGTATATTTTAATATTATGTAATTTTTATGTATTTTTAATTACTGTATTGTAAAAAAATTGCTTTTTGTCAAATAAAAGTTAGATTGTTTTCTTAGTGTTTGTTTTAATTCTTGATAATTAGGAGCCACTGTGTAGCAGAATGTGTGTAGATTCTTTTGACTGCATGATGATTTTATGGTACTTCACACCTAGGTTAGAATTGGGTCTTTACTGTCATGTGGTGGAATTCTATTGAATTGTCATTATCATCAGTAAGGTTCTAAGAGGCTGCCATATCTGGCATTTGAATGCTGTCAGTTGCATTTTTTGGGTGTTTTGACTTTTGACACAGTTGATTGATGATGTTGGAAAAGTATAAATTCAGAAGTATTTTCAAAATAGGCATCAGAGTTCAAAGATGCCATATACAAGTAAGTCCAAAAGTGTTCAGTTTAAGAAAGGTGATGATGATAGGAGACAAATTCCTGTTGTTGAGTGGGATGAAAAGACTGAAATTAGGAAGAAATATGTTAGACCAGATGCTGCCAAGACCAAAGAAGAAAGTTTGAATGACAAAGCCTTGACAATTTTGAAGGAAAATGTAACCAAGGTAGATAACTCAAAAGTTATATCTGTACTGAGACCACAGCCTGGGGAACCCAGTGTATTTGAAAGGTATACAGACAACTTAATCAGAGGAGACAAGAACACATATAGGTTTTTACATGCAGATAGAACCTGTAAACTATTCACCAGAGCCTTTCATGAACATTTGGAGCAGTCACCAGGCTGTAAGGGGAACTTTCAATTTGACTATGATGCCGAAGAGCAGAGAACCATGTGTTGGAGAGAAAAAGTGGTTTGTACCATGTGTAAATATGAGTCCTTGATGTACCCCTTGTATGAAGAGATAGGGGAGGAAGGAAAAAAGGGCAGGAAAGCAGGTGCCCCCAACAGAAGGTTGCAAATTGGACTTGCGGATACAGGTATTTCAAATACTGCATGGTGCCAATTGATGCGGACCGTTAGCCATCCAGCTCCATCGAGGACCGACATGCAGAGACAGTCCAATGAATGCGGTGAGATGTTGGTCAATATGAACAGAGAAGATATGAAACAGCAGCGACAAATTGTAAGACAAGCATTAGAGCGCTCAGGGTTCCCAACCGACACACCGATACCTGCTGAGTGTGACACTCGATACAACAATCCGTTGTTTGGATCTCGAACAAGGACTCCCTTTCAACCTGGGACACAAGCAACAACCACTATTGTTGAAAATGTGACAGCTAGGAAGAAGATCATTGCTGTACATGATGCCAATAAGCTCTGCAAAACAGCCAGTTATCTAAGGTCAACTGGAGAGAACGCAATTTGTCCTGGACACCAAGGCCACTGTTCGGCAAACCTAAAACCATGGGACTCTATTGGTAATGAGGAATTGTATGGTGAATTACTGGCAGATCAGTTAGCAGAAGATGAACAGCCTCTAGTTATTGGACAGTTAACTACAGATGGGGACAGCCATGCCTACAGAGGATTCAGCAAGAAACATAGTGAAGTTGTTAACCTGACACCAGAAAACTTGCGCGATCCAAGACACTTGGCGTCAACCCAATTGCGTAGCATTGATAAGGCAGATTTTAGTGAATTTATGTTTCCCGGAAGGACAAAAGCAGACCGTGAGAAGATTCACAGGAGATTTTCCTTGGATTTAACCAACAGGTGCACTGTGGAATATAACTTTGCTATCAAGGAGGCTGCTGGGGAATTGAATAGACTTGTAAATAGACTAAGTTATGTAGCAGATTGTATAATTGACTGTTACACAGGACATTGTGGAGATACATGCCGCGCCTATTCCTATATTTGTAAAGGGACAGAAGGTGATTTCTGGGGAAAAGAATTCTTGCCTGAACATGCCAGATGCTTATACATGACAGAGGATGATGAAAACCTGGTACGCAACTGTATGAACATTAGATTTGGGAGAAAGAACTTAGAGAAAACGCGATTCGGTACAAGTACGCAAAAATGTGAAGCTACAAACAGAGGATATAATAAGTCTAATCCTAAAGATATTACCTTCCAGAGAAATTTTCCTGCTAGAATTCACTCCACTGCACATAGAATTAATCATAGACCTGGAGAATCAGCTGTTTTAAAATGTGAAGCTCTTGGTGTACCACTTTCTCCAAATTCTCGTCCGATTCATCAACTGAAAAGGGAAGACGAAATTTATGAATACCACCAGTTGCGTAAAAAAAATCCTGTTGTTAAACATGAACGAACTGTTTCGAAACTTGAAAGATTTGAACTTTACGATGAAAAATCTGTAGAAAAGGAGACATATCAGAAAGATCTTTTGGATTCAGAAAAAACTTTAAGAAGTAAACGGAGAACTCGTGCTGATCATTCTTATACAAAGTGACATTTCTGTATTTTACTTACATACTGCAACTAAATTATGCATTCTGGGTACATTCCATGTGTCTGACAGGTTTGTGGAACTAAATTTTTACATATTTGCCTGCTATTATTTATATTGGGAGGTTCTAGAGACAAATGTTCAGGATTAATACACAAACTATTGTGACATAGGTGTGAAACATGTAAATCCGCAGCTATCTCTGTTAGGTCATTTTGTAACATAAACATAAATCTGTGAGCCAGATAAAAATTTTTTCTTCCATTTGGCCACTTTACTTTTAGACGACCATATTTTGGACCACGAGTTAAACCCCTTTCTCTTTGATTGACTGCAAATACTGTCGACCAAATTTGGCAACCCTTGGAATTTTGGACATTTTGGTCAATTTTTGAAATTAAGCCTGCTAATTGCACAACTTTCCACTGAGGATCCATTTTAAAAATACCATGAGGTAGTATAGTACCCAGAATATGTAAATCAGTTGCAGCATCCTGGGAAATTTGCATTTTTAACATGAAAAAAAATTCCAAAAATCACTACCCAGGTTGCAGTCTTGTAATTGATTGCTCCATAGGCTTACATGCAAAACAGCTGATCTTCAAAAAAATTTTATTCAAAAATGCTACATAGAAAATTTTTTTTGTGTACAGATCATGCATTTAGTAATGTTAAACTATGATTTCATGCAAAAAAAAGGGCACCTTGCCACGAAGAATAAAAAGTTAATCAACCTCGAAGTCAAAACTTCCTTTTTCTACTTTCTGTTTGCTGTTTTCATCCGACCGCACCACTTCTAGTAAACATTAGATCCTTCCACCTTCCTAATTTAATTTCTGAAAAAAGATGCAATATTTTTGTTACATTTAAATAGTACTTTCAATTCATCACAAAGTTTTAATCAAACAGTTTATAGGCAGTGCAGAAAAAAATTCAGAAAAATTGGGACTATTTTATTTAACTCCATGTTTTGACATGCACCGGAAACTGAAATTGTAATACAAGACTGGTACCTAAATGAGTGGTCAAGATGACTGCAAGTGCATAATGATGAACATATGTCAAAAATATTTAAAAATAATAATAATTCTTAGAATCATTACAAGACAGGTAAACAAGTAGAGAAAACAGTGAAAAAAGAAGGAGCATTTGGATACTACTTGAGAAGTCAAATAAATGTCTTACAGAACCATGTTGTAGATGAAAAAAAATAACATTAAACGTATTCATATTAATCAAATACCCAAAACAATGGTACCTTCAAAGCGTAGCGGGTAAAAAGTAAAATAACAAAAATACTGAACTCCAAGGGAAATCCAAAACGGAAAGTCCTCTATAAAATGGCAATATCAAAAGCTCAAACTCATCTAACGAATGGAAAACAACTGTCATATTCCTGACTTGGTACAGGCATTTCCTTATGTAGAAAATGGTGGATTAAACCTGGTTTTATAGCTCGCTAAACCTCTCACTTGTATGACAGTCGCATAGAATTCCATTATATTGACAACAATGTGTGAGCAAAACAAACAGACATAATAGATAAAAAGACAAAGATCATCAATTTTGTTGTCTCAATGAAAATCATACCATATCTCCTAATTTTTATATTCATCATGTAGGTATACTCGAGACGAAAAGTTTTCAAAAGGAAAAATGTACGTCAAAAGCCACAAATTAACGATGTCATGATTGATTAAAGGTTTGTTATAAGTATGTTTAGGAATATTAATTTCGAAAAGTAGTACATGATAAGAAATTAGAACCAGTATTGCACTATTGAACGTTTCTTGAATACAATTTTCTTTTAACGTAGACGCCCAAGCTTAAAAACTTACCAAATTAATGTAGTAATAGGTTTTCGCCATTTGTAGCCATATTACAGTGTTTCTGTGGGTTTACTGAATAGAGAATATTGAGGGAAATATAAAACAAAACCCCGAAAAATTACCTTAAAATTGAATTGAGAATAATGGGGTGATCAAAATAAAAAAAAATGGAGAAAGATGACATAAAATTAAAGAATACTGAAATGAAAACCCACTTCCAATCCCGACTCCCTTGAAAAGTAAAATTAAAAAAAACATCAAACGTATACTGAAACTGATTCATATACATTTTATTAATAAGGTACTTTCATATTCATTTTCAAAGTTCTTATTTCTTCTTGTCTTTCCTAAACACCACTTTTTCCAATCCCATCATTGGTGATTCAAATACCAGTGAGGCCACAAATGCAACTGCATAAGCCATCCCAAGATGTGCAAAAAATTCGTATATCTAGAAATAAAAGAAAACCAAACATAATTGAATGTATCAAATATGTTAAGATTTATATATATAATTTACCTTTGAAATGCATCGTTTTTAGTTTTTGCGATGGCCGTGCACTCAAGTACCATAATTTTGCGTTTGTGCACTCTAACAACCGCATACGTGTTTGTGATATATCAATGGATTTTAAAACATTTGAGATATGCTACAACAGGGATAAAGATATCATAAGATTGTCAAAACTTTGTCTTAGTTTTAAAACACATATAGGGTTTTATTGTGGAAGTATGATTCCATTTTTAAGAATTTATTCAAATGTGGAATTTCGCACCAAGCTCTGATGAACGGTTGTAACACCCATATGTAAACAATTGACCTTCTATAATTGTTATGTTTGACTGAACAGATTAATGGATAAAGGTTATAAAAGTACTGAGGTTGTTGAATAATTGTGCTACGTATTGTTGAGATTAAATTTTAAATGCGACCATATAATTTGAATCCGTGAAGACAAAAACAATTATACGCGTTTCAAATATACATTAATTTTATGAGCAAATTCTTGCCATTGCACAAAAGAATGTCTTCCTGCACTTTTTAAGCTACTCCGACGAACAGCCAGTAATGATAAATTGCAGGACGGAATGATTTCGTATCGGCAGGGTAAGGTCTTTGTGCTTGATGTCAGTAGCTGAAATCATTCTTTGATACAATATTATGTGTCATTGCTTTGCTTGGTTCTTTGTTTTACTGCCTATTATACCGTTATAGATTTAAGTGTTTGTTCGGCTTGTTTGTATTGCACGTTCTCATATGTACCTTTAATCATCCCCGACATATGTTCATGTGCAAATACCGGTCCAAAGTAATGCCAGTAGTTGTATTTTAATAATTTTGTACTTTTTAGTTGATGGCAGATCTTTGATAATATCATTTTATTGATGACTTTCATATAATTATAATTGTATGGACACGTGGTTATTGTTAAAGGCCGTATTTTGACCTCTCTGTTGTCTCTTAGTTTTATGTCATTTTGTTTTTAAAACTCTTTAACATATATCCCGCATCTTTTTTAATTCATACTAATGACGGCATATCTTGAAAAGTGCTTTGAACATATAACAATAGTGTTGACTGTTAACGAAACTGATGATTCAGCAACAGATATTGTTCAAATTGAATATCCTGTTTGGAACTATCAGCCTTACCACTTCATGATCATCCCAAAACAACAACTGTTTTCGTGATTTGTAGTAACAATACATAACAAGTGGATGTATCAGGTAGGCACAGTATGTTAGTCTAGACAAAGGTACAAATCCTTTCCAAGACAAAATTGTATTTACGAAACCTGGAATAAAGAAATGCATTGATAACTTGTGTTTTACATTCTTAAGAAAGATTCTGAAAAATATGACTTAATAGAATATATTGTACAATTTGAAGTGTTTGGCTAGACATAACAATATCTTGAAAATTAAGTGTACTGTAAAATTCTAGTGTCGTGTTTTGTTTCCTTGTTCAAATTGTTTGAAGCTAAACTTTTCTTTATTTTTGGAAAAAAAGATTTTTTTCGAACCATCTTATGACCTTCTCTATCGACCAGATGTTTACTTCTTCTTTTTTCGACTCTAACGTCCACCATGTTGTTTGTTTGCATTAAGGAACAACTAAGTTTCTTAAGATTAATCTGAACAGCTATCCGGTATGTTTCTTTTCAAAATGGGAAACCCTCATGGTTTGAAAGCCTCTTTACATGTAGTAGCATCAGATTACGTCTACGGTTCATCATTGTTTTGGGACATCAATAACTTTCTCAAATTTTCATGGAATTTTCTAAAACATAGACGGTAGCTTTTTTTAAATCAAAAGACTGTATCAGTAGCAACATTTTCTAATTTGTTTATATTGTTTTTCATTTTTCCCTATTTCACTGATAAATGGACTTATTTGTTTTGCAATTAAAGAACCTTAGTGAGCTTAGAGTCACTGGAGAAATAAAATAACTGTAAGAAAAAATATTGTATAAGAAAACAAAATTGAATTTCCTGTCGATATGCACATCTACATAGTATGTCCTTATTATCTACAAAGTTTCATGAAATTCTGTTGTGTGGTTTCAGAGGAATTGCAATGACAAACTGTTGCAGAGGTATATTGAAGCAAATAAGTTCAAAGGGGCGTAACTCCTAGAAAAAAAATTGAATCATAATTTCCTGTCGATATGCACATCTACCTAGTATGTCCTTATTATCTACAAAGTTTCATGAAATTCTGTTGTGTGGTTTCAGAGGAGTTGCGATGACAAACTGTTGCAGAGGTATATTGAAGCAAATAAGTTCAAAGGGGCGTAACTCCTAGAAAAAAAATTGAATCGTAATTTCCTGTCGATATGCACATCTACGTAGTATGTCCTTATTATCTGAAAAGGTTTCATGAAATTCTATTGTGTGGTTTGAGAGGAGTTGCGATGACAAAAGGTTGCAGTAGTATATTGGGCAAATAAGTTCAAAGGGGCGTAACTCCTGGAAAAAAAATTGAATCGTAATTTCCTGTCGATATGCACATCTACGTAGTATGTCCTTATTATCTACAAAGTTTCATGAAATTTTGTTGTGTGGTTTCAGAGGAGTTGAGATGACAAACTGTTGCAGTAGTACATTAAAGTAAACAAGTTCAAAGGGGCGTAACTCCTAGAAAAAAAATTGAATCGTAATTTCCTGTCGATATGCACAACTACATAGTATGTCCTTATTATCTAAAAAGGTTTCGTGAAATTCTATTGTGTGGTTTGAGAGGAGTTGCGATGACAAGAAACAGGACTGACGGACTGACGGAGGGACGGACAGACAGACGGACGGGTCAAAAACATTATACCCTCCGCAACTCGTTACGTGGGGTATAATTAATGTTTACATACAAGAGTTTAAAGTTTTAACGTATTGATAAATTTGTCAAACCTTCATGGTACTTTACGAAAGTTGGACAGAAGCTTCTTGGTGATAAAAATTTAAGGTAGTATCCAGAGCAACATTTTGAAAATATTGAAAAGTTTTTTCCCTCATGTTTCCGTATTTTATTGATCTTGCTCACACTGCCAGAGTATCCACGCCTGTTGTAATAAATGTTATTTTGGTCATTTTATGGTTTCAGGTGATACGAATTAATTTGTTCTTGTCCGATTGATTTGTTTAGCGACAGACTATTAGAACATCTATATTTGTTTTATTTAAGGTTTTGAATAATCCCTTGACAATTCAAACTGCTCTAAATTATTTCTGTTTTAATCAGTGACACACTTATAGTGTTAACATATACTAAGCAATATACCTCCATTTCCAGTAGCACATGCAAATATCACCCAACAGACAGCAGCACCCCACACTGTTTTGTGTAGGACATTGTACAGTGCGGCAACACCCGTGGATAGTTGATCACCATTTATATCGTCATATATACCATAAAGTACAGCTAAAGCTGACGCAGCAAACACCGCCCATATAGTTATATTTACAAACTGAAACAAAGATTGCAGTATATATAAGTATAGAGCAGTTTAGTGCAGCTTTATATGATGGTAGATAAAACTCTGCGCATGGCCCTTTTCTGTAGGTTTTATGAAATAACATTGAATGGCACCAACTTTACTGCACTAGATGCCCAATTCGACAAGTAAAATATATTCAGTGATTGTTCAAACCGTAATGCAAACGTTGACGGGTCGATGTGTAATCATAGATCTTTTTGAAAAATATACTTTATCTTTAGATGAAAACTTAAGAAGTTTAATCACAATGTAATCCCTTTATTACAATAAAAACTTTATTCTCTAACAACTTGAATAAAAAAAGACCACGAAATCTGTCAAGATTAAAAAATATGCAAATATGTTTTCTGTTTATATAAAAAGGGCATTGACTACATTGTTTAATACTTTACCTGAGGGAGTTAGAGTGGTCCTTAATTGTGCATTCTTTCTTTTTATCCCTGTTTTTATAAATACGAATAGCAATATTGATGCCTCGAGCATCACTAAAGAGACATTAATTGTATCATTTACGGTACCAATTATCGTCAAAATGCGCGTCTGATGCAGTAAAACTAGTACTGTTAATGTTGTTTGAAACAAACGATATGTGTTGAAATGATTCCAAAACAGTAATATCCTTCACATAAATGTAAATAAAAGCTTATAACTAACCAACAAGTTAACTTCGGGTTTAATTGTGTAATGGTCTTGTTTATTCGTAGTAAACTTAAAAACATGAAGTAAACGTGACTTTACTGGATAAAAAAGAGGGATGAAAGATACCAAAGGGACAGTCAAACTCATAGATCGAAAACAAAGTGACAACGCCATTGCCAAAAATAAAAAGACAAACAGACAAATAATAGTACAGATGACACAACATAGAAAACTAAAGACTTAGCAACACAAACCCCGCCAAAAACTGGGGGTGATCTCAGGTGCTCCGGAAGGGTAAGCAGATCCTGCTCCACATGTGGCACCCGTCGTGTTGCTTATGTTATTACAAATCCGGTAAATAGTCTTATTCGGTAGGTCACATTCGTGAAAAGGGAAGGGTATTGTAGTTACGACATAAGGAACATATCCGATATCATCTGTGAAACGGTTATTCCATAACGGTCAACCAACTCGTGATGGCGTCCGTAAAATTTACGAAGGGATGATTTCAACTTCACCATTTGGAACTCTTGGTTTAATAGCTTCCTTGTGAGCAGCAATCCTCCATCAAGGAAATCATGATAGGAAATACAAGCCCGGGAATATCGTATCAATTGGGAGATATATACTCCGTATACAGGCGCTGCTGGAATGTTGCTACATAGAAATGGAAAGTTCACAATTGGGAAGCTGAAATCATCTCTTTTGTCGTAAAGTTTTGTTTTCAACCGACCCTCATTGTCAATTTCTAGATGTAAGTCAAGATTTGAGGCAGACTTAACTGTATCTGTAGTATCCTTTATCTCTAGTTCGATGGGATAGATTTGTTCAACATAGTCACCAAATGTTGTATTATTTAGTGAGAGAACATCATCTATATAGCGGAACGTAAAGTTAAAGGATATTGCTAACTTTTTATCTTTCTTCCTAAGAAGTTCCTGTATGAAGTCAGCCTCATAATAATAAAGAAACAAGTCGGCAAGAAGAGGGGCACAATTGGTTCGCATTGGAATTCCGACAGTCTGTTGAAAAACGCGTCCTCCAAACGTAACAAATATGTTGTCAATCAAGAAATCAAGCATCTTGATAATGTCAGTTTCAGAAAATTTTTTGTTTGAATCAGAGTGATTCTTTACAAAGTAGGATTTATCCCTCCCCAAGACAAGACATTACTAGCAACGAGTGTTTTGGTTTTATTTCAGTATAAGTTGGTTGTTCTTTGTACACAATTACGTACATAAATAACATTCAAAGTAGACATTGCACAAAATAAATCTAACTCTGATGTTGAGTGTAGGTTATGTAAGGCTTAGCCTATCTCAATCTGTACACGCAAAATCTAGGCGCTCGTAATTCACCGATGTTCAAGTATCGTAAATCGATTAGTAAGAGACAAATCAAGGCAACACACAAAATTGAAAAGGAGCGAGACCATTCTGTACACGGACTAATCTATATTATTACAACAAATCATAAGCATTTGTTTTGTGCCATGATATCATCACCAGGATTGTAATATTTTCATATAAGCATATTATGTTAATCCTTTTTTCATTCCCTAAAATATATGCTACCATGGAAGAAGTATTACTGTTGTGGTGTAAATGAAATGTTAATTGCCTACATTCTCAAAATGTCTTACCTTATTTATTTTACATTTGCATTTCGTTGTGTAAAGAATGTAGCCTGTGTACATTCCAACCAGGTATGGTCCAATTCGACAGTATGGCATTTGATAATAAGCATCAAAATAGTCACCTCCACTGATAAAGTATACATTAAATTGGTAAATTTAGATTGCTTATTTTATCACGACATATATTTATACAAATATAACAAGGAAGCTTTAAAACCAAGAGTTCCTATTGGTGAAGTTAAAATCATTCCTTTACAAAATGTTACGGAGGTCATCACGAGTTGGTTGACCGTTATGGAATATCTGTTTTACTGATGACGACGGATATGTTCCAATTGTCGTAACCACAAACCCGTCCTCTTTTTCTCGAATGTGACCTACCGAATTAGACATATCATTTGGTTTGTACTTACACGAGCTACACTACGGTTGCCACATGTGGATCAGAATCTGCTTGTCCTTCCTGAGCACCTATGATCACCCCCGTTTTTGTGAGACTCGTGTTGCTCAGTCTTTAGTGTTCCATGTTGTTTTTTGCGTACTGTTGTTTGTCTTTTCGTTGTTTCCCGTTTGTTGTAATGGCATTTTTGTTTTAGACTTGAGAGTTTGATAATCATTTTTGTTTCTTTGGCCTCTCTTTTACAGTGTTCATTAAATATACGCATTCGGAAATAGTAACGCATTATTGAAATGTTACACTAGTAAATGAATTTTAGTCTTTATCAGCCATTTTGATCTAAACATCATCAGCAAAATTTTGAACCTGAAACTTTGAGTCTCGTAAAGAGTTTGATAATTTTTCAGATATTTTCTTATTGTTAATTCAGTACTGTTTAAACATTTGGTTTGCAGTCAGTCTATTTCTGTTCTGTCGGTTTTCAAATAATCAATTATGTGGTCGAAACAGTACTGAATTAACTGTAGTGGATAAGTTTGAAAATTGAATGAGATAAAAATTGCAATTTAAGTTCAAAAGTGATGTACTGGTGTATATACTTTGGATGTCTTAATACCATTTTTGAGTATGCATGGATTGCGAAAAGTTCTTTTGACTGAATTATAACATTTGAACTGTAGATATATGGACCATGGAGGACCAATGCATTCAAAGTATACGTTAAAAGACGTACAAAAGTCATTTTTACATGAAGGAGTTTGAGCCTTAGATTTGTTTTGGAAACGTAAAAATTGTCAGTTATACGCTTCTGTGAGACACAATGAGCAACAAAAACGATTACTAAAAAACTTTCCTACAACGAAATGGTTGATTAAATCTGAATGTGATCTCAAATTCCTGTATATTAGAAATGTGTTTAACTATACCGCTAGCAGTCAAGTCAGTAGTTCTATTCGGTCATATTTTGGGGAAATTCAATGTGGATACTTTGTTTTCTCTAATAAACGGACTGTTTCCGTTTATAAAAGATGCATCATAAATTGAAAAAGGTCATTAGTTCTTTTAACACAAGCGAAAATAATTTTTTTCTTAATATTCACCTAAATGGATTTGCACGAAGGTCCTTCTGCACAGAAATAACTGCTGTTGTTATGGCTGTTCCTACCCATAATACGAGAGTAACAATAGTCCCAGCTATTTTAGAACTGAAAATAAAGAATAAATTTTCCAAACCTTTTTAGCAATTAGTTTGACTAAATTAAGTTAATTGATATAATAACAATATCTAGAAAATGTACATATTCCTAATGTTTATTGACTTTATTATCCTCATTTTTCCTTTGTTGTCATGTTTATAACTTTTGTGGGGCAAAGTTAACGCTATGTAGAAAGTAAGATCACTTTTGTTTGCATTTCAGGTATTACGAACTATATATGTTTTAATTGAAAAAAATAAGGAATTTTGTGGTTTGTAATTTTCAGTTGATTGACAATCATCTTTATGCTTAGAATGAGTTACTAGTACATAGTTAAGGAAGCAACACTCATTCAATCATACTAGCACATTTGTTTTGTTGTAGTTATTTTCATATTGTTTGTCGGAGACAAGCACTTATTGTCTGATGTATTTTTGGTTTTAAATGATATAATTGTGTTCTAGTATTTGCAATTCATATCGTATAAGTATTGTAAAATGCCCAAAGCGGGAATCTATTTCATAACCAGGTTGTGTTTACGTACTGAGGTAATTTTCTTTAGTTTTCGATCTTAAAAGCTATGTTTCCCAACAGAGGTATGAGAAGTACGAATTAACGAAGAATCAGTTTTACGGCCACCACAACGAATTTCCTGACCAATACAATGTGTAGGTGTCTTAACTCACTTGCCACATAGTTTCGCGGTCTTAGATATTTAGATACCACCATAGTCGTCTAATCTGTTATTTTACCGATTGTGTTCTATTTACGATTGTGAAATTTTGACTGAGTGTGGATTAACATGGAAGGTGATGCATACATAGCAGGAGTCGCTTATCCTGTCGACGGACCCGATCTCGCTCCTTTAGGAGTTCATGCCATTCCCTCAGTTTTTGTTTGTTACCTTGGTTTGTCTCTTCGTTATCGATTTACCAACTTTGAACATCAATAAACTACTGTCACCTTTATTTATGTATATTTGTTTTTAAGATTTGAGTACTTTTTTATACGAGAGGTGAACTTATCGAAAACTCAATGTCACATGCTACATACTTAAGGTAAATATTTGGTTGTGTCATTGGACTGTTGACGCTATGTTTTTGAAATGAAATGGAGATTTGGGATCCACAGGTGGTCTACGATTTGCAGTTTCAATTAGTTCCTATAAACATGTGGTATACCAATAAATCCTATAAGCCCACCGAAGATTAGAGACAAACAAGATACCAATGACAGTGGTTAGTACACGATAAAAAAAAATCCATGTAAAAATGCGCGGTGGGAACAATACAGGTATTAACAAAACCGAGGAAAGGTGCGTATGATTGGAAACTATTACAGACGTTGGAAAATAAGGAAAATTAGGTGTGATATCAAATAATATGTACTTACTGATGAAGAGCAAGCAAAATAGGTGGACTTATAACATAAAACTGCATATCATTTGCCAAATACCATGCATGGCCAAAACACTGAAATGTTGAATACAATACAAATGTTTCGTCTTAACTGCATTTGCATTTAAACTACTCATATTGTGCAGTATATAAAAATTTTATAATAAGATATATTTTCAATATCAAATATTTGTAAATATATTAAGATATGTCATAAAATGTGGTATGTTATTTTATTATTCCCGTTGTTATGTCTTAAATTAAGTATCAACATGTTATGGCAGTTTTATTCGCTGTTGCATAAAAAAAGTTCCATCAATTATTATCAACAATATAAAGAAAAGAAATATTCGTTTGACCATATAGGTCAAATTTTCGAAATTGTCCGTGTTCCCGATAAATTACTTCTATGACATGAGTTTTGAACGTGATAGAACATTCCAATTTGCACATTACACCCCTCAATTTGAGAATCGACTAAGCTCTCCATCAGGATATTAATATTTAATCATTAAATCTCCATCAGGGTATTTATATTAAAAACATACTTTAGATATTGATGGAAAGGTTTTAAATAGTGGCAATAGGTTTTCTCTCCCGTTCTGTAAAACGTATCATTTAATTTATTATATGATATTTGCATTTTTTCTAAATACCCTTTCACCATCGATTTGACTAGTCTGAATATTATGTGACAATCTGGCCGATCGAAGGTGTTAGAGGTCACACAGTGTAAAGCAATACGAAATGCATGTACCAATGGTTAATGGGCTGAACAAGGTGTGTATTACATATATATATATATATATATAATTTTTGCATCTCATGTTTGCGATATTCCATCTTTTTCGCAAGTTGTTTGTGGTCTGTTTGATTACATCTAGTGATCAATTTATTTGGCAATCGCCAATGGCAGTCAGCAGGGTTTAAGAACATCATTTGTTCGACCTGTTAGTCAAATGCGTTTTGTTAAAATATACTTTTCACTTTTTTGGTCTTTTGAACAATGTTGTTTGTGCTGTTATTTGACCCATATATGCACACGTATAAAAATTGCGGTTTTTATCCAACGCAATCATAGGTTTGAACGTTGTTTTCAATTTAGACTTGTATATAGATATAGATATATATATCTTCCTTTCTTTTTAATTTTTTTTATATTTTTTTTATTTACGTTCGATAATCTACATAACTTTTAGCTGTATTAATAGTGGTAATTAATAAATTATGGTCAGACATACGGCTTGGCTGTGGATGACAATGTCTTTGTTACTAAAGATTTCTTTTAGATTCTGTTGTACCTTTTTGATTCATTTTTTTTTATTTGGCATTTTTCCTTCATAAAAGTCGCAGTATGTTTTATGATGCATACAGATAAGATATAAAGATGAGTTATTAATTTTTTTCCAAATTAGATCCCCAGGGGACATATCACAGTGTACTGTACAATTATGATTACAAATACGAGGGGTGCAGGGGCATATCCAGCCATTTCTAAAAGGGGGGTTCCAACCATTTGTGCCATTCAAATGCATTGATCGTCCGAAAAGGGGGGGGGTTCAAATCCTCGTACACCCCCATCCCCATCCCCCATGATCCGCCATTGTGGTACTGGGGTGGACACGATTCTGGAATCAAAGCCTGGGAATGAGTGGGAGTTGGAGGTAATTGAAAGTCGGGCGGGAACCAAGTGTGACGAGGGTAGTAAAAAATGGAAAATTTATGCTTCACAAAAAAAAATAGTAAGGGAGAGGCAAGTGGGAATCACCCCATGTTCATTCCCTCAATTACAAGGGCGGAAACCAGGTGAAGAGGGTAGTAAAAAAGATATAATTTATGCTTCACCGAAAAAAAAATAGTAAGGGGGAGGGAAGTAGTAATCATTCCATGTTTACCCCCTCAATTACAGGGGTCAGTGTATTAAGTCACTAAATCAATTGAAGAATTCTTTTTTTTTTGTTTCCTACAATTACATTTTTGTACTTTACCCCAGTTTAACAGTTTAATTGAAAGTAGTACTTTTTAACTCTCAACCAAACATCAGACAAACTTCAAAAATTTAAATTAATAAATTAATTGAAGATTTCAGCTTTATCTATTTTTATACGCCTGTGTTTTAAGACGGGACTAATTATGGTATACTGTTGTCTGACCGTCTGTCTGTCGTCAAGACGTCGTACAAATACTACAACCTGCTTTCACCATTTCCCATGAAACTTTGGTAAATTGTTTATATCTATTGATGTAAGCTCCCTCTCGATTTTTAGAAATTTCAGATTTAACGTTTGAGATCATAAAGGAGGGGGGGGGGGGGGGGGGGGTAAGTGAGAGATTTTGCAGTTTTCAGACTATAGCTCAAAAACACTTTCACCAATTTCTATGAAACTTTGGTGAATAGTTTAAATCTATTGATGTAAGTTCCCTTCCAATTTTTATAAACTTCAGATTTTATGTTTGGATCATTTATGGGATTTTATTCATAAAAAAAGGGGGAATTTCCAAGTATTCTGCATATAGCTCGGATTCCCTTTAACTATACTAGAAAATGCCCGCAAAATCGCGTTACTATTGGGTAGGGAGTTTACACATAACAATGGGGAGGGGTCCGGATATTTTGTGCCTGTGTTTACACATAGAAAGGGGTGAGGATCACTTCGACAAGTTCAACGCCCATTTCATTTTTGGACCGTTCTGCACCGGAGTAAAAAGGGTGGATGTCGTTTTATTTAGCAAATGATGGACTTACAATACCATACAGGAGCCTTATAGACCTAACTATCCTATTTCTATCCTTCTTCTTACTTTCACTTGGAATTCGCGGGCAGTATGTCGACTGAAGGAAATTTGGATATTTTCTCAAAAATTGGCGTTTTCAAAGACAAATTTGGGGAGTACAAAACACTACGTCATGTAAACGTCATATTACAAATATTTCCGACTTTGTATGGTTTCAGAGGAGTTCAATGAAATCGGTCTCTTTCTTTAGTAGTATAGATCTCATGTTATATAAACACGTCTCGCTTATATGAACGCTTAGTCATGTCTATCGTTATTGAATAGTGATTTGAAAATTAATCACATGTTATTTTAAAATGTAAATCCAATTGATGTAATTACAGAAACCGTCCTTTTGTTTTGTTGTAAAAATGAAACAGTACTTCTCTAAAAGCCCAGAAACCACTTTTGCAGAAAGCCGTACCTGCAATACCCTGAATCCCTGGTACATTATTAAGATATATAGTCATCACTGTAGTATATTAGTTCAAAAGAATAATTTAATTTGTAAACAATGAATTTAACTGAAAAAATTTAACTAATTGCTATCTTTATATTTGCTCTTAAAATATGCATGAAATATTTGCGACTATATCAAGAAACCAACCACCAAGATTTAATGTTTGTGTTGCAAATTATTATGCTAATTTATAAAACATAAACAACTGACTTTGAACAAACCAATGCTATTAAATGACCACTTAATCAATAGTTGGAGCACTGAGAAATCTTGCACTAGTCTATTAAAAACTGGCAAGATAAAACTAAATATATAATATTTGTGAAATACTTTCATCTAAAATTTTAACTATAATAATCATATCGATGAAAAATAAATAAAGAGCTCTCGCAAGTGAAGATAATTTTCTATTGTGATATTCTTTTGTATGCCCTCGTCGTAAAGCAGGGGCATTAAGTTTTACCCTTGTCCGTCTGTACGTCCGTCCGTCCGACTGTACGTACGTCCCAAAATTGATTTCTGTTCTGTAACTTTAGTTTGCCTTAACCAAATGTTATGAAACTTAAACAAAATGCTTATTAATACAAAACACAGACAAGTTTGAATTTGGGTAGCGTCACTTTCACCATTGTAGAGTTATGCCCCTTTACAAATGGAAACATTGCCGAATTTTTCGTTTTTGTTCTCTAACTTAAGTTTGCCTAAAGCAAATATTTGAAACTAACACACAATGTTTATTACCACAAAACACAGATCAAGCACAAATTTGGGTAGTGTCACTTTTATCGTTCTTGAGTTATGTCCCTTTATAATCTTTTATGCAAGCGGGGGCATCATCTGTGTCCCTTGGACACATTCCCTATTTATCTTATCTGGTGTCTGTTTACCCATAACTGAATGTTGTAAACCTTTGTGCATAAATATTGAGGACATATTTGAGCTTAAAGTTTTTGTTAAGTGGACTTAAGTTTTTCGCCAATAACAATTGTTTGACATGTTAAGTTTGGGGGAGTAAAAATTCAGACTTATTTTGTTGAAGTAAATAATTAAACCATTTGTGAATGAAATTGGACATGTTTGGGCGATTTGTGGTTTTAAGGACAACTTTGGGCGAAATGAACACGTCTGTGAAAGTTAGATATATGAGAAATAAATGGTCACAAAATTTGTGTCATTATTTTTTTTACAGGTAAGTCACTGATCTGATTGCCATAGGTGGTTAAAGAAAAGAATCATTCAGTCAGCAGATATATCCATTTAAATAAATTTCACCCGACCTCACGTCGCAGTTGGTAACATTGCTGCACCTCATGACAAGTCTGAAGGTTGATGGAAATAAAATCCAGGGGGTCTTTTCACAAAAAGTTACAACAAAAATTGATTGTAAGTTAAACTGAAATAGTCATGACTTACAAGTATTTTTCCTCGTAAGATTTTTTGGGACCTTCCAATTTATATTTTTGGAGCATGCAACAGGAAACACACCTATTTTTAATTGGCCTTAAATGAAACTGCACGTAATTATATATATATCAAGAATTTAACAAAAAAAGTATTGTAAACAAAAATTCCTCCTTTTTACTAATAAATTGACTAATGTTTTGGCGGTCACCATTACACATTAACACTGACAGCTGCAATTGTAGGTGAGGAACCCTTTCCCAATAGACCACTTTAGAGTTATGTACATGTCCTTCACTGGAACATTTCGTCAATTAAACACGCCTTTATGACGTCATTTACCAGATAGAGGGGACCGCCTGTATCCCTGCACTATTTAAAGTTCATCAAATGTCATCGTGCTCGTCATTGTACAGATGAACTAGAAATAATGTTTGTT